GGTCTGGCCAGGCAGCCCCCGCCCCCCCCCACCAAACCCTCCCCTCCACCTGCACCAGCGCCAACCTTCCCACCTCCACCAGTTCCCTCCTCCCAACCCCTCTACCCCCCCCCCTCAACTCCCTTCATTCCCCGCCTCTGCTCAAGAGCTGAAGGGCTGGGCAGGCAGGGATGAAGCAAAACAGGGGCGCTTGGACTGTGGGTATCCTCACACTAGGCCCTTATAATCGCATTATCGCAAGATCAACGGCCGGATTGAGCTCTTCTGAAAGGAGGACTCAATCTGGTTGGTGATTTTGCGATTCTGCGATTCTAAGGTCCTTCAGTCTTCCCCCGAATACAACGAACGGTCATTATAACTGTATTTGAGGCATATTTCAGTCTACATACAGCTATAATGACCGTGCGTTGTATTCGGGGGAAGACTGTAGCGTGAGTATACTCTGATTTGTGTGTGATGCTCTAACAACAGAATACCGGATAAAACAACAACAACAACAACAACAACAACAGAATACCGAGCGCCTGTGTGTTTGGCTTGGTACAAAAAAAAAGATTCCGCAATAGTAGACAATCCTGGCCGCATTTTCTTTTCCTCAGCACCTACCATCCTCCGAGTCTTTTTTTTTTTGTGTTTCCACTCATCTTCCTGCAACTTTTTTTATTTTTTATTTTGGATCTTCCTGCAAACTACTCGGGTTCAGGGGCAATCTTCTGCCTACAGGGTTGTAAGAAATAAAATAAAAAAATAAAAATAAAAAAAGAGCCCCTGGTGATAGGAGATCGCCTGTGGTGAGAGGTGAGATAACACACACAAGCAATCAGAGATCGACTTGCACGACCGACGAGAGACCGACACGCACCACCAATGATCGCAGTCCAAATGTAAGGTGAGATACGCACCACCGGCCAGGATCAGAGGGCGACACGCACCACCGGCCAGGATCAGAGGGCCCACCAATTGCATCACACCTGAAAACAGAAGTCACCGTGCAGATAAAACAGCATATATATATATATCGTCAAATATATATATATAGATATAGATATATATAACCGAATTTAAAAAAACAAACCATCTCATTTATATATATATATATATCGTCAATATATATATGTGAAACTCCGACGAAACAGTTTGTCACAGCCCCTCGTTTGTCGCAGTCCAAATGTAAGGTGAGACACGCACCACCAATGCTCGACTTGCACGACCGACGAGAGACCGACACGAGAGATCGACTTGCACGACCGACGAGATCCACGACCGATGAGAGATGGTCTGTGTTCTATGGCTCCATTCCTTTTTTGCCTCCATCATTCTATTCATGGGGAGCTGCACCAGCGGGAAACCCGGTCGAGCGTCACATACACCATACTCTTCTCAGTAGTCCATAAAGGCATCACATGTGCCACTCTCATTTATAGGGTACCCACCGGTCCGCCAACCTCTTCACCCAGCGGGCGCCAGAAAGGAGTGAAGCCCTAGTTAGTTGAGGGCCTGCTGGGTTACCTTTTTCTTTTTTTTTTTTTTTCTTTTTTTTTGAACGTCCATGCCTGATATCAAACTACTCCAAGCCTCTTTTTGCAAAAGCCCAATTTGCCCCGTGTACCCCGCAAAAAACACAGGCCAACACACGCCAGCATTTCCTTTCTCATTTTCCCTTTTCTTTAGGCTGGCACCAGCAACCATTTCCGGTTCCGGCCTGTGGAGGTGTTCATCCGACGTCGAGCAGACACGCATGGCAGCCCTCGTTTTTCTCCGTCGGCGGAGAAAATGCCATAAAATTAACTGAACAGTTTAATAGTGATTACTAAATTGGCCAATCAGAGAAAACCTCACATAATCCAACGGCCTAGCTCAGTCGGTAAGCCTCGCAAGTGGCATTCAGGAGATCATGGGTTCAATCCCCATCGGCCTCATGTACCTTCCCGGGCATGCTTGGCGCCCGCCACCTAGAGATGACCACTGGATCCCCCGATCGGCATCGAGCAGAGTCTGCTAATGTTCATACGGGAGGGGACCCAGCGAGCGGCATATGGATTGGTCCTGTTGACATGGTCGCTGATGCCACCTCTCTGTACCCTACCGGCAGTAGTCGGTATCGCCCACCTGCAACATCTGGAGCAGCCCCCGCATGTTCCCTCGTGACACACTCATGAACACGGGTCTCGCTGCTACGGGGTTCACCGTATGACTATAAATAGTACTAGTGGTAGGTAGGTAGGTATTGTGAGGTGAAATCGGGAGCAGAACGAGCGGGCATATGGCATGGTCCCTGATGCCACCTTCACCTGCTATGCCCTAGTAGTCGGTATCGCCCTCCTGCACATCGGCAGCAGCCCCCGCATGTTCCTTCGTGAACATGGGTCTGCCTGCCTGCTACGGGGTTCCCCGTATGACTATAAATAGTACTAGTGGTAGGTAGGTAGGTAGGCATTGTGAGGTGAAATTGAGAGCAGAATGTATAGCTCATTTATTTATTAAAATATAGAAAAAAGCCTCGCGTATCGAAACTACTGCCGACTCGTCAGCCAATCTCGACCACCAAAACATTCTCGAGGCTTGCTTCGGTCTTAAAGTTCAATAGATTTTCCTTCTCCAAAACAAAGATTTGAAACTTCATCAGCAAAACCACACGATGAAGAATGACAGAAGTGTCATAGTTCTTGCCCAAGTATTGCACGGTTCTTTCGGACCAAAGCAAGCCTCAATAACTTTTTAATAGTCACTATGTTCTGCTTCAACAAGCCTTGAAACCACCAGTACCCACCCCAGCCATACGTTGGCCGCAGGAAAAATAGAGTACAATCATTTAGACTCGGAGGAGTTTGGGTGCAGCAGCCCAGACCGATTCATCCGAGCATGCCACGGCTTGTTTACGGCCGCAACTTTCATGGGTATATTGGGGGTCTAAGAGGCTGATCCCACAATCGTTAGTAAAGGTACTTTCAGAAAAAAAAAACAAAGAGATCCCGCACATTTCCGCGGCGGGCGGGCCTTCAAAACCACACATTTCTGTGGCGGGCGAGGCTTCAAAATAATTCGGCTGTTTCTTCTCGGGCCTCCTTCGTGGCAGCAGCCAAAAGAGTCGACACGGGTTTCATGAATGAATTTCCAAAAGCGCCCGACGACCCTCCCCCTCCCCCTGAAAGTCGGCAGCTGTGCAGAATTGGATTATTCTGTTTCTGTTGCCGTTGTCCGTTCGATGTCCGCAGATGATGTTGGCACCGAGTGCAACTTGGCAACATCCGTGGAGAAGTTCCTTACTCGTCGGGTCCATGGGATTCAAATTCGTTTCTACGAACTACTCGGGTGCGGACAAGACTTTTAGCGACTCGTCTTTTTTTTTTTTTTTTGTCAGTGTTCCCAGCGGCGCATTTGCTTTTCCTTTTTGGCTCACACAGGCTTTAACTGCTCTCATGTGTCTTAACATGCGGACGTGTGAATTTCCATTTTCGATTACTATGTACTACATAGTACATACTAACACAGGTATTTTTGTCCACTGGCGCTGTTCATCGTTTTTCTTTTTCTTTATTTCCTTTTTTATTCCTTTTTTTGGGGGGGTGACGGCCTGGTTTCAACCTCATCGGAATGGTTTGCCTTCGAAAGAGGTGGCGGTGGTTTCCTTTTTGAAGTTTTTTACTTTTTTTCAAAGCCACGTTCTGCGCGTCCTCTCACAATAGCTGGGAAAGGGACTGTTGGTTAATATCCCCGCGTGCCAGCTTCGGGTGAACCCTGACCACAACTGCAAGTTGCCAGAGGCCTTATCTGCAACACACTGAACTCGGAGGGACAAATCTGCAAGTTGGCCCATGTGGTTCAATGGTGGTGTACACTGTACACACATGTGTAACTACTAATAAACAGACCATGCAATCGAGTCCTGCTGGAATCGGATCGATATCAGAGATCGATATCAGATCGATATCAGATCGATATCAGATCGATATCAAGATCGATATCAGATCGATATCAGATCGATATCAGATCGATATCAGAGATCGATATCAGATGGATATCAGATCGATATCAAGATCGATATCAGATCGATATCAGATCGATACAACAAGATTCGGAGCTAACCAGTGTATAACCAAAAGGAGAAGAAAAAACAATTGCAAGTTGATAATGGAAGGACAAGCCCATCTAGGCCTGGAGGGACAGGTTCGCAATTTCCAATGGAGGGACAGATATGTAATTTCCAGAGAATCGGCGGACAAACAGAAAAGACAACGGGGAGGACGCCAGGGACTTTCCGGCAAATTGTTGATATGCCGCTCTAGTAGTACTGTCTGGCGGGACCAGAGGCAGCAGTGACCTTAGATACAGGCCTTGTACTCAGACTGTATGTCGGCTAGCTTGCTGTGTCTCTGAAGTAGACTGGTTCCCACTGACGACGAGGCAATCACCAACAAGCATCACCTCCTCACTCTTCCCACGCATTACGGAAATGCCACCCACCCACGGACTGTCAGGATTCAACCTCCTGTTGAGTCGGCCTTTCTCCGATAACACAATCTCGCACAGTCATGCTTTTCTTTGTCGACTTGTGTGTAGTGTGCACACACACACAGAGAGAGAGAGAGAGAGAGAGAGAGAGAGAGAGAGAGAGAGAGAGAGAGAGAGAGAGAGAGAGAGAGAGAGAGAGAGAG